AAGCTACAGAGCAGACTGGACATCAGGAGCAGACTTCGTCTGTCATTTTCTCCGACTACGCCTAGATGGGACCGGCTTGTTGTTTTATTTTTATGCTGTTTGTATTTGATTTTATGCCAGTCGTATCATTTTACTTGTTCGTAAAATCCCCCCACCCCCCGGCCGGTCCGTGAAAATATTGTCTGACATATAGCAGTCCGTGGTGCAAAAAAAGTTGGGGACCGCTGATCTAATCCACCAATATAATTCTCCGCAGGGCATTGTGAAAATATATATTTTTTTAAGCTTTAATATTTTTACTGCTTCTTACTCATCATTGTAAACAAACTGTTTACTTACTGCAGCAGGGCCACAATAAAGAAAGAAGCAGTGATTTTGACCATGATCAATGCAGGATTCCAGAAAATATCTACTCCACAAAGCATATCAACTCTGTCTTTACCAAATACTTGAAACTTCTGCAATTCTTTTTAATTTGGCACCTAATGTGTTTATGTAAAGGAAATGTGTCATAGATCTGTTTCAGATTAATGGTGTGTTTAGACCAGAGGAGGTGGCTGCTGTGACTGTGATGGATATACATAGAATTCCTATACAAACCGCGCAGGGAAGGGTGGTGAGGTGAGCAGCGGTGAGAGCGTTCACTGCTTCGCTCTGACCTTGTGCTAATGGATAGAGCTGAGGTGTTGCACCTAATGGAGAGAGAGGAGCAGTGATCGCTGAAGCTGAAATGAGCTGAACTGTTCTGCGAAATCGAGACACAGCAGCCAATCAGGGATTGGTTATAGATAAAGTCTTTTTCACTTAAAATTGAAAACGGAGATAAATAATAACAGGTAGAAACAATACATATTTAAGGGGCTTTTAAAATGAGCTGTTTTATTTTAGCTCTAGAAGCACTGCTTGTCATCCTGACTCTCCTCCAGCAAAGACCCCAGTCTGTAGCTGCACACTGTCAAGCATCGGTGCTTTCTTAGGGTGCAGATCAACAAGGAATTCCCACCGAATCAGACCGTCATCTAGAAGCAGCTCTGGATGAAATGAAGGTGGACTTTTTCAGAGCATTTGGGGCTTTTCGAAACAAGGGTAGACTTTCCAAGGCGATTCAAAAGTTGTTCATAAAGAATAATTTAACATGATGTTAAGTTTCACCTGTGCTTTTATTGTGAAAAGCCGACAGACAGCGATACCTTGATAGGAAATGACATGGGATTGCCAGGGGTAATGGTAGGTCCAAAGCGAAGGCTCTAGGACGCTGGTGATTTACTAAATATTAAACAATTATTCCAGCTGCTATATAAGGTAAACACGCCAACTGTTTCATTCAGTATTAGCTCAAGAATGACTTGTGACGTTATGCAATAACTCTACGCACATCAGGAATGAGCGCAGCGCAACGTCTGCTGGGATGGTGACATAATTGGCCGTTAGTAAAACTGATTCCATCTTAAAAACCAAATCGGCACAAACAACAGTTTTAACTGCACAAATTAAGCAGCACTGAAAAAGTAGGATAAATAAATTTAATTTAGTTTCATTCTGTGCTTAATGGAGGGATAGTTGACTTCTGCATGACCTTAAAAATGATATCTCTGAAACAACAGTAACACTCATTATCTTTATTTCAGTTTTTTTTTTTTTTTTTTTCCATTTTGAAAAATGATCATCTAAAATGCACAAACCTGCACTAAAGAAGCAATAACCTTTCAGCCTATTTTCGTCCATTTCACGTCAGTGGGGTGTCTGTTTTAACTACTATTTGATGATAGTGTCCAGAGTGTAAACACTGTGCATCTGAAAAGCTCAGTGGTGGATTACCTGAGGGGCTCATGGAAATCCCTGCCTCCACAGTATGCAGTGTGAACGTACCGTAAGAGGGTTAGGCAATGTGTGGTTTGTTTTTTGTTCAAGGTAAACAAATCGCAAGATACTTTTGTTTTTTTGCCCCAATAAGGAATCCAAAAAAAAATAAAATGTCCTTTCCTGTGCAGGCACAGTCCTGATGATGTCCCTGTGCGAAGTGGTGCATGTCTACGAGTTCCTGCCATCCCGCAGGAAGACGGAGCTCTGTCACTACTACCAGCGTTTCTACGACGCCGCCTGCACGCTCGGTGCTTATCACCCACTCTTGTACGAGAAAAATCTGGTCAAACGTATGAACCAGGGCTCAGATCAAGATATATACGTCCATGGACGCGTCACACTTCCTGGGTTCAGGTCCCTGAACTGTACCGCTGGAATGGTGAGGGAGCGCTGAACGGACACGATGCAAAGCTGGAACCTGAACCTGCATGATGAGTGAGGAGAGACGCATGAAGCCCTTCCATTTAATGGTTTTCTTTAAAGAATGTCATTCATTGATCAGAAATCACTATAAAAAAGACTGTAGTGAAATTTGCACATGTAATTGTGCAAGTTATGTTATAAATCTGTATCAAACAGTACATTAACACTCTATACAATCAAGATCTCAAAATTTTAAAAATACTTGATAATACTGATATTGGCTCAAGTAGCACGGATATTAAATAACTTTAAAGAGCCAAACAAAAAAGAATCGATTAACTCTAAAAACAGGTTTTGCTTTTTAAAATCATTAGACCGTGTGTCCTTGAGACCAAAATGACCCACATTGTCATAACTAAATCTATTACTACTGCATAAAAAAAGAAAAAAAAAAAAACATGAACTGTGAAGCCTTTTGTGTTTTAGTTTGCACTTCCCCCAATACTTCAAGTGTGTAAATAAAGTTTGTTTTTTTGATAAAGCAAGGTAGAACATTTTCAGAATCATAAGTGATTATTTATAGACTTTAAATGTTAAAATCAACAAGATAATCCTTGAATTGACTCCCTTCCTTTGCTGATGTTAAAACCTAATTTCCCGCAGTTTTCTGATGCCATGTTTGTTGAAAGGGTTAATACTTTACGTTGTCCTAACCATGAGACACAAACCCTGATGGAAATACAGAAATTTGGGATTTTCTTCTCCTAAACTAAATCCTACTCACCAGACTAAACTGTGAGGTGCTGTTTACACCTAGGAAAGATAAATATGTAATTCAAAACTTTCACTTTTCTTTTTTATCGACTATGTTAATAATCAGGGCGCTTCTGGTTCAGCACCTTTTGGATAATGCTCTTCCAATTTTCCTTCAAGGATTGCTTTCTGTTTTCTGATTGATTAGCGTTCTTCTGCCGTCAATTAACAGCAAAGGAATGTTCTTCACTGCCAACATCTGATTCAGTGCCATCAGTTGGTTCAATTTACAGCCTTGACTTAACTTTGAGTGTGATGTAATCGTCTTGGGATGGGACCAGCCAGCTTTTTCCTGTTTAAAAATTCTTGGATGACCAAGCTAGTATTATCAGCCCCTTATGATGGACATGCTGCCATCAGGGTGCTGCACATCTCGCCCAATACCTCGGAGTTCTGCACATGCCAATAAACCAGTAACCGTGACCAGTTGTTTGAGGTTCTTTGGATTTAAAGTAGCTAATGTTACCGTCGCTCAGTGAGTAGAGGCACAGTTGCACAGTTTGAGAGTTATGGGTTCAATTCCAACTTCCACATTGCATATTGATGTAAACTGCAAAGATCAAAGATAATGATCTGCATATTGATGTATGTAAATGGGTAGGTGTCTAGTATAAAGCGCATTGTGTGGTCATTATGACTAGAAAAGCGCTATGTAAACCTCATCCATTTATAATATCAACAAATCTAAGATTGAATTGTTTTGGAGAACTATACACAACTAATCAATATCAGCTGCAAAATCTGATGTTATCTTTCGGCTCATTGATCCCTATTCTACCATCTCATGACTGCTGGTAGAAGATCAGAAACTATTTTAGTTCAGTTTTGTTCTCAGTCCTCTGCATCATGGTAGCATTCAAAACCTATGGCAGAAACACCCAAAAATCTCAATCTACGCAAATCTCTTCTGGCATCTAAATCGTGTTTCTTTGGTTATATTTGTGTCTGAAACTGTGTCTGTTTGAGGTGGTGAGGCTGGTTAAGAAGCCAAAAAACTCCAACACTATGCATGTCAACATATATGTAAAATGTACCAATGTTCTTCTTTTGTCCTGTATCAAACTGCTTGGTGGCATTCTCAAGTATTTACACAGCAAATATCACTGCAACACACAGGAGGATACTCTCTCTATGTCTTTGCTATTCATATCTAAATAATACAAATTTCCAAAGGGTTTATGTAACTTTTTACAGAAACTGTGCTTAAAGTTGTAAGCACTGTGCAACTAAAATGTAGAGCGATGAACTCCCTGTGGTGTCCACAGTGATTTTTGGTTTGGTCTCAATGCACTGTTTGGCTTAGTGCAGCTATTAATACTGAATTGAACTACTAAAGAATCTATTGTAGCACTGGATTCTGTATTTTGTACTTTCTTTAGCTATATAAGTTTTTTGGCCATCCATTGGAAAAAAAAACATGTCAAAATTCTTTATTTACACTCAGAATTTTCCAATCTGCAAGTTTATTGTATTGTCCTTGGTAAAGAAAATAATCTTTTTGTTGAAGTTCCATTTACTCATACTCTGAACAAATTGTGCTTTCATAGGGCCTGGTGTTGTGTTTTCATAGTGAGTGGTATGATCACTTTATACACAACAGTGGTAATTGGTTTTTTTGACCAAATAACTGGTCATTTAATCGTTTCTGCATCCAAATTGTAAATCCAACATTAATGATGTTGAGTTAAATACCTGTCAAAACAAGGTTTTGGAGCCTTAAACGGGTATAATGGCTACAATTGTAAAAGTAGATTAACCGCAGTTAGAAACTGTTCCAAAAGCTTCTAACATCTCTTTTTTTTTTTTTTTTTTTTTTTGAATGTGGACAGCTTTAGTCTTCTAAAAAAAAGCTTCTGGATATTTTCAACTTGGGTGCAATTTCTGACCTTATGATCTTAGAATCTGCAATGGTTTGGAAAGAACTCCAGACTAATTTAGACAATTCTCCTTTTTGGATATCCACTGAGTTCCTTTGCACTTGACATTTGTCAAAACAACATCAGATGTTACCTTCTGTACTCCATCATGATCACCCAGTTAACAGACCCTGGGTGTGTCAAAGTAGGGCACTCTAGAAAACATTTCTTAAAATCATTATGCAGATATGAGCTTATGCTTATAAGTTAGTTCCCTGCTATTTAGAATATTTTTCAGCCAATAAACTTCTAAATGTTGATAGGTGTTCATGAAGAGTGATTATAATCATTACCTTAAAGTCAGTAATGATCTGAATTTAGAGAAGCATTGCATATGTTTTAGATAAGATAACAGCAGCTGTAAAAGGCAACAGTTTAAAATGACTCATTGCCTGGATGGTACATTTATAGCACATGAACTATAGGGGAACATCTTACACTGCCTACATTTAGGCAGTCAAAGATTTTAACTCAAAATGTTTAAAACTGTAAAACTCTGTTTCTATCTATCTCTGTTGAGATAGATTCTCAAGTATTATTTGACAAATATATTGTTTGAAAGATTGGAGATAGTGATGTTTGCAGGGGAGAGACAAAACAGTTTGAATATCTTTTTTTGTAATTAAGCATCCACAGCACTACTTTAGACTCGGTTTATTGAAATTACTACAATTTTTGATAGTAGCTTAAACGTCTATTTGTTAACCTATGCATGGCTTTTCTTTTTCAGAGTAAAGAACCAACCAGGCGTCCTTTCTCCTATTTATTATGCATATGCATGTTTGCAAATGTGTGAAACTTTTCTCTGAAGTTGCCTAGGTACAGGATAAAGGAAAAACAAATTATGTAACTGTACATCAGTTTACGCAGAATATAGTTTTTTTTCAGGTATCTGTTGGCATGGAAACAGACATTAAGAAACTGTGGAACTCTTTGGGCTTCAAACACTAAAATAAAATAACCACCACTGTGTTAAAAAAAAAAAAAAAGGAAAGGCAAGCACACAATAGTTTTAAAAAACTAAGTAGCTATTTTTTTCTGTAAATGTGAAAAAATATTAACACCTTTAAATATGTCTTTGTAGAGTAACGTCATTTAGATAAGCAGGTGAAACGGCTTCTTTAAAAACCTGCCTTCTGATGGATTCATCAGATTGTTCGACTTGTCTTGCATCATTGGCTGTGTTTCCATAAATTTGCGCGCAACTTTCATTCAACTAATATAGAAAAAAAAGACAATTTTTGCAATTGTGGTTCTATTAAATCCATCAATTTTCTGTCACGCTTAATCCCAGTTTGGGTCGCAAGGGCGCTGGTGCCTTTCTCCAGCTGTCACTATTAAATATGAAATGTAATTAAAGTTGCACAAGAATGCATTTTTTTCACAAGATGCATCATTAAAAAAAACATAAAGAAAATAGATGTGCAAACAAGTGAGATGTATTCATAATTTAGCCAAAGCACTTGTGCTCATCATCATCATCCATTAGAGTCTTCTCTGACGACTGATTATTGGTAGAGGAACAGAGCAGTTTGTCGAGGTATTATTTAGGTGTTGGAACAAGTCCCTCTTAATTGGGAGCAGCTATGGATGCAGTTTTTATGGGAAATTTTAGTTGCCAATTTCACAGAGATGCTACTCCTATAGCATACTAAATGTAAAAAAAAAAACATGTTGCCTCCAAACCTAAATATGCTGTGCAATCATCGTCCTAATACTTCCTGTAATGGTCTTTGTCTTTTAGGCCTGTAGTTGTTAATCACACCTGCATCATGGGAAACGTGTTTCCATAGCAGTTATGTGAATGAAAACCCTTTTATCCTAGCAAAAAAAAAGTATTCCCAAAAAAACATTAGGTATATTTGGGTATTGAACTGTTTTCATTAAGCTTTTTTTTTTTTTTTTTTCCACTATTACAACTTGTGTAATTTGAAGGTCACTGGAAACGCAGCTATCGATGTAAGATTTCAGGTGGTTTGCCATATTGTGAATGGGAAGTTTATCTCGGAAAGCAATAAAATTATGGCTGGACATGGGATTCTCATTTAACGTTACTTTTTTAAAAGAATTTTTGGTAACTGTTGAGTACTATTGAGAATGTGTTTAAAGCAAGCCAATTACATTTTGGTTCCATTGTAATCTAAAACAGAAGAGCCTTTTGCTTCTAAGGCACGTCATCACAGCAGATCACTTCGCTTAGAACTGTCTCGCAAATATTTTTATATATCATTAAACTAAAGCAAATAAGTGTGTGAAGAGTAAAATTACGAGAATAAATTATTTATTAATTAATGATCAAATTTGTTGCACCTCTGTTTATTTGTCCACTACTACTCATTTAGATTTTATTACCAGCCTTTGTTGCCACTGTAGCATATACAAGTTTCATAATTGACATAATCTAAATGTTATATTTTCCTCAATATTATGAAAATTATGAATGCACATCATTTATTTCTGAAATTCAAACTTGAATTGGGTAATAATGCTATCCAAATTAGACATGATCCAGTTACAAATGAACTGCAAACTATACAAGCTAATGTTAATATGCTCTTGCATTTTATCTATTTAAACTATGTAGAAAGTTTATTTTCTCCTGCAGAGGTGTGACTGTCTACTGTAATAAGGTACAAATCGTCAAAAGTGAATCTTTCAACTACCAGTATAAATACAAAGCCTCACCAGCACGCTCCACCTAGCTATGTAGCTGCCAATGCAGTTTAATTGTTGACCTGTTTTTTTGTTTTTTTCAAAAATACCAACTTCTATGTTAAGTATGAATAACAAAAATGGTATTTTTTGATGAATCAGCCTTTTTTTTATTGCTTTATTTTGTGATACTAAACACATAATTTGTCAGTTTTTCAAAACCAGAAATGTTTATTTCCTATGCAGTTGCACTTCCATCCAGAATTGGCATCTGTCAGAAGTTTTTCTTGTCTTGATTAACTGAAGCTAACAGTATGTCACTTTTTCTCACTTCGTACTTTAGGTTTCTTAGGGAGTTGGCTGGTCGGTTTAAATGTAATATTGAGGTATTATTAATTTAATGTTTATTTTTATCTGTCTTTTTCTTTCCTATAGTGTTGCAACTTTAATGGAAAATAAGCTTGCTTTGTGTTTGGCATTGAGGAAAACTTTGTCACAATCATTGTTTCACTTTCCTTTGCTGTTTCTATGGTAAAAGATCTGTAAAAAAGGAGATCCTTGCAACTTCTGATTCTGACTTTCCTTCATCTGTTACAGATGAACATCTGATGTGTAAATATAGACTACTTGTAATCTAAGTCTGTGTCCAGCTATTTATTTATTCTCAGTATATTGCAACTATATTTATGGCTCATCTTAATCGTAAAGCAAAGATTTGCATGTTTTTTCCTTACTCTTCAGGAAAGTATATTTATATTTATTTTATATTTCACCAAATCAAGGAAAACAATTCAAAAAGGGCCGCAGACATCAAGCCCATCAGTGACAGTGATAGTTTGGGTTTTTTTGGGATCCTCTTCAGTATTCATTGCCATTTTTTACTGTCCAGCAAAAAAATAGAGCAACATGTAGGCTGTTTCGTAATCACTACCTTTCAAGGGTTTAATTTTGTTTTTGCTGTACTATTTTTAAATGCATAATTGAGTTTTGGATAATTGAATAAAATCTTATATTTATCTGCTGTTTACCAATCAATCTGAAAGTTGAACAATTATAAGTACTAAAAGTTTAAAATGGATACCGGTGATCCTTTTGGCTAACTGTCTAGTAAACAGGACGTACAAATGTCAATGCATCCAGATGTAATAATCAATTGATATATGAGAGCTAGTACATGTTTTACAGGATTTATTTACTAAGCCTTATGCAAACTATTTAAGTGCTGCCTCAACTATCCTTTAGGGGTTCTGTGTCTGCTAACCGCAACACATTTACTCCACCAGAGGGCATCAGTGGTAATGTTATTGCTCTGCATCAGGACCAGATCTGCTTGCTGGATGTCATGAGATGAACCATATGAAAATTTTTCGGTGGAGGGTAAATATTGTTAGTAACTAAACTCTGAGGTCTGACTGGATGGGTTTGATTTAAAACTCAGAAACACTGTCATCTGTTTTTAAGTCTTAATAAGGGATTGACTTTCATCTCGGAAGTCTTTAACAGAAGAAGTTGGAATCTGACAATTGGTAGGATAAAACCAAATCTGATTTAAATAAAATGGATGACCATTAACAAGTCTACTTAACAAATCTTAAGAGCTCAAAAACTGCACATGTATAGCTGCACTTTGACACATAATGTCAGTTTTCCCAGGATAATTCAGGTGTGCTCTGAGGCTGCTGCTGTGAAACTGAAAGGCTATATGAATCAAATATAATGAAACTTAAGACTGGTGTTAATCTGATATGAAGCAGTTGCATGTCAGGAGTTTGCTCAGGTAGAGTACGGCTCTCTGCAGGTGAGCAGGCTGAAGAACTCAGAATCACCTTGGTCGCCTGACAATAAACTTCCCATCAGGAGATAACTGGTAAGTTCTACATTTTGTCTAACTTAATGCATAGATTTGAACTTTTTATTGATCTAAATGAAATATTTAGTAAAATGTTTTGCTGTAAAGGGATAAACTCCAAAAATCAAACGGTAATGTGGAGAACTAATTAATTTATATAACCTGAGATCTCAGCTATAGATTAAACAGGTTGTCTTCAGTAGGAAAACTTTTTATCAGATTCATATTGGTTCTCTTTCTGTAACGAAGAGATCTATGAATAACTATACTTTGACTCATATTCTAATTTTAGTCTCCTTAGAGAAACAAGCATAGCAAGGTAGAAAATGTATTTAATTGTTTGCCAATTTAATTCTTTCCCTAGACTTGACTTACGGTTTACATGAAATACCCACTGGCTGTAAAGACCAAATAAATATGACATTTTGGATGGACGCTACTCAGTTCCTTATCCATTGCTGTAAAAATGTCCATAGATGTATATTGGTTATTTATTCCCCAGGTGCACAGTCTTTATATTGTTAAAACACTTTAAAGTACAGTATTGTATTTGTTTATTTTTTAAATCTTCACTATTATTTTACTCATACAATTTTCTAAGGTCCACATTTGTGTGGCATTTTTTTCTGTCATCTTTTAGCTGCTGTAACACCAGAATTTCCCCAAAGTGGGACAATAAAGGGATTTTCTATTCTGTTCTAATATGAAGTTACATATATAAACAGGCCTCAAAGTAATTTATGTTATACTTAAAAATGTATGTTGAGGCCAGATGTAAAGCTATAAGCAATGTACTTTTTTTTTTTTTTTTTTGCTGCTTTCTCTTTCGTTTTCAAATCTTCAAATTCTCTGATGGTATGAATCACAGGTTTACATTTTTTCTTTGAATAGTTGGCACCACAACAAAGAAAAGAAAGACAGAGACGGGAATCTCAAAGGGTTTAGAAGTTATTACCTGCTAACAGGTGGTGCTTAGCAGAGAACTGGATCTGAAGTGATAGACAAAAGACTAAACACAAGAAAAAATTATCTTCAAGTGAACAATTTCTAAAACGATCTCTGATATTGCTTTGGTTCTTTGTTATCTAAAGGTATTTGTTTCTTCACAGCTCTCTTAAAGTCCCACAATGTTGTATCATTCAGGTTTGAGTTCAGTATGCTCTTCTCAAGCCATTCCACTGTACCAGTTGTGTTTGAAATAATTATTTCAATGACTTAGCCCACGTTGTAGCTGTAGCTCTAGAATGCTTTGAAAAATAGTGGAAGTTAAAATCAACTCTGTGGCCTCATTGGCAGAAATTATTTTGCCATAAACCCCCAAAGACGAGCCCCTCTGTGCTGTTCAAGACTGTGAATCACATATCAAGTTCAGATTGTGGAACAAAAAAGAGGCATGGAAGCGAACACTGTTTTTGTCACAATGAACTGATTTATAAAAATCTGGCCCAAACATCCCCATTTCTAGGTTCTACACCTCAGCTGAGTGTTTTGTTCTGTTTTTTTTTTTTCCAGATAGCCAGTGTTATACTTCCAGTAGTTGCAGGGGCTTTAATGGGGAAGAAATTCATGTTAGTAAAAGTCATGAAATTATATAAACGGTGCAGCTCAACATTAGTGATATATTTTTTGCAGCTGCATCTAAAGCATCGTTGGGCCTTACTTCCACATAGGTCAGGGCTGTGACCACTTCACATGACTGTTCAAGGGACATACTGTATGAGCAAAGACTTTAATCTTAACGTCAGAAAAAAGTTTCTTAAAGTGTCTGGCTTTAAGAATTTTGTGAAAAATGCTGATGGTTGCAATTTATCTTGTAAAATCAAATCATAGCTCTTCCACCACTGTGTTTGATGAGGTGTTTGTTTTTTTGTTTTTTTACCATAACAAGACACAACAATATGGTCTAAAAATCATTTTAACATGAAGCCATGAATTTAAACCTTTCCAAATAAGCCGTAGTTGTTTTATTTTTTCCTGTCACAAAAATAAGCCATATTGGAGTTATAGGGGCTGAACATTATGAAACCAAATTTCTGTCCATTCAGAAGTTAGAAGAGAACTCAACATGGTTATTAGAAAATGTTTCTTTAATCTAAAAAACAGGCTTTATTCTTGGGTGGTTCAAGATTTGGGTTTATGAAATTTGGTTCACAAATCTTAGTTTAGCAAAGTTAGCATAGTTCCTCTAAACATTGCCCTCTCTGATTTTAAGGGATTTGTTTTTTTGAACATCCAAAACTGTTTTGAATGTTTTCCGCATTTGAATAATCTTTCCCACCAGTGTAAAAATAACTTAGGTATAAGGAAATAAGGAAATATAAGGAAATACTTTCCTGTTTCCTTGGAAAGTATTGGGAAGCAACAGTTGTATTGTAGATGACTTTTCACTATTGCATTTTTACCAACACACATCTGTAGGATCCATATGAGATATCACCCAAACTCCAGAACTTCTGGATGCAATATTTTTTTAGGATTATCAGTAAATCATTGCTTATTATAATCTGCATCATTTAGTTTAAGGTTACATTATTTTTTATTAATAATTTCCTGAAATTCAACACTTGCAAAAGGAGAATACTAACAATGACTGCATTTGTGATTCATTGATATTGATACTTTACATCTGCTTCTGTTTCTAAATCTAACTGGTGGTTTATTTCCTTACAGGAGACAAGAGAACAATGAACTGGGGATTTTTGAAGAATGTTCTGAGAGGGGTTAACAAGCACTC